TCTCTCTCTCTCTCTCTCTCTCTCTCTCTCTCTCTCTCTCTCTCTCTCTCTCGTCAGGGTCATTACTTTTCCGCGGACCATTCGTGTAAACGCTATAATTACACGTCCGCGCGTCCCTACCCCTCCCTGACAAATCGAACAAAACTGTTAAAACCCTTCTAGCCTCGCATGCGGGACGCGAGCGAGGATAACCGGATATCTTTTTTAAAGGTCGATAGACATTACAACTGCGGTTTCCGCCGCTGCCGAGAGCTCCGCCGCGGGATGCTTTAGTAAGGTGCACGACCGTAAAGATTTCGTGCAGGAGAGTTAATTTTCGGTAACAAGCCGATAATTAGAATCAACAAGCGCTGTCGCCACCTCGGGTATCCGTCAGATTTGCATTTAAAAGCGGACTCGCGCGGATGGCCAGCGATATCCAATAAAACAACACGTATACCTACATACACGCTTGTTACAACCGACAGTGAATCAGAATTATGGCCCCCATGCGAAGAGAAAAACGTCATCCCGAGCTTCCCGACAATATCGCGCCCAGCCTGGTACGGAGAACCGGATCTCTTAACGAGGGTCGCCTGTGAAATCACGACGGCGCGATTATAAGCGCGATTCGGTGTCGCGCGGAAAGCGAATAGTATCCTCTCGTTTCTTTATTGGCACCGTTATTAGTTACGATCGCGTTCGCGCGATACTCGCGGGAATGCAAGCAGTTCACTCGAATAGGTACAGAGTGTTCCGAAACGAAATTGTCAGGAGAGCAATCGAGTCCCCGACGATCTTTAAGAATCGAACGTCACGGTAGCGAAAAGTCGCAAACTAATGATAATGATGGTAATGAACAGAGTTTATTAATTGCCTGGGGACAGAAATTCTAGCCTTTACTCTCCTCTGAGAGGGAATGCAAATGTAAGTTCACTTTAAAAATCGCTGGATCTTCTATAGCATGCAAGTTTTCTGCACGAAACACATACACAGCACAGGTTTCTTTAGACAATTTTAGGCATTTTATAAATTTTTATATGAAATCTTTTCAATTTTATCATGTTTTCTAGCAGCGTAGGAATAGATCGTTAGTGAAATTTTTCTTGCTAAGAAATGTATAATAAATTCTTTGACAATATACTGAGAGAAAAATAAATATCAGAAAAAGAAACATATTTATCTGGTAGCTAGACGTTAGTTTTAGACGTTTTAAACGTTTTTTACTTAAATCTAAACTTTTTTGTTTAAATAGAATAAACAATCTTCTGAGATGCAGGTTTTTTGCACGAAAAAAAAAAAAAAAAATATATATATATATATATATATATATATCACAATTCTCTCTTCCTTTAGAAATTTTAAAACATTTCATAAATTTAACGAAATTATG